CAATGTAGGTTTGGATTTCGTTCTCTCCCTAAATAATAAAACATAATTTCAAAACTGCATTTTGTGTTTACTTGTGTTATCTTTGACTAACGGTTAAATGTGTTTGATGATCAGAAACATTTTGTGTGACAAACATGCAAAAGAATAAGAAATCAGGAAGGGGGCAAAGAGTTTTTCACACCACTGTAGGTGTAAAAATAGATGCTGCACTGAAGTTTGACGCTCAAAAACCAGATCATGCTGCTTTCAGCTTCGACGCCCAGCCCAGCCGGGTCAAGCCACTGTTCTTTGAGAATGTGATTTACAGTTTTGTTCTCTCGAGATCAGCCTTAGACAACTCTCCTCATGCTGGGTAGAGCCAGTAGTAGTTGTGTCAAACACAGCGGCAAGGCTTGTCCATGGGTTTCTCTGAAATGGCTTCCTGTATGGGATAAGTACTGTTGGCCCATCACTACTCCAACATTTGAAGTAAAAGTACAGATTTTACACCAAAATGTTTCCATTCCAACGGTCTTCTCTAACTGATGACCAATGGGTTTCTCTTACATGCAGAGTTCACAGTGAAGAAAGCCACACCTTCATTTAGCTGTTGCGTTGGTAGAATTAAAGGTGGATGGGTCATCAGCATTATGATGCAGGTTTCAGCTGCTCCTGTGGGATTCTGGCCCTAAACTAAAGTACAGTGGGAGGTATCCGGGACCCCCTCCTGTGAGAAGGAACCAACTAAATGATCACGAGAGCACATGGCGAACTGAGACGACACAAGTTACACTTATTGAGGTGTTCTACACAACCTGGTTTCTGGGATCCCACGGAACCGACAGAGGGACCTCACTTTGTTTGCGGGAAATGATGTACTTCCTGCAACAGAAAAGCAGCAGGATCTGAAGCATTTCCGACTGAAACAACAAAGAAACACTTTTAATTGCAACTTCAAAGCTGCCTTTTTCACACAAGGCTGCATAGTGCTGATTATAAAATGCTCTTTCCGTTATTTTAACTCAAAGGACAAACATTAAATGGATGTTCCACCCCAAGTGAAATTCAGTCTGTTACCATATAACCTGGAGTCAGATAACAACCCAGTCATTCTCCTAATCTGGCAGGATTCTGTTAGCTTTAGCTTAGCATAAACAATGCAAGTGAGTGGTAACAACTAGCACCGCGATAAGCCGCTGCTCTAATAGCACTTACACATTAGCGTCGGCACGGCCCCAAAAGGTATCGAATGGCACCGGAGTTTGGTTTCACACACAGCTCAGACTTACGTTTTCGGTGTCGAGGCGACTCTTTTTCCTCAGACCTTCTCCCCAGCGGTCAGACTGGGACCGAGGCGACACTACGGACTGATTGGCCAATTGAAATTACGCCTACCGCCTCCGATCTGCGAGAAGAATGAGCCAGCGGGGGTTTCCCGCATGCGTGGTTCATTTTCATGCTGGAAGCTGTTGAGTAAACTTCTGTCAGTAGCACGGAGCTGCTGCTCGGTGTGAGAACGGGAGACGCGAACAGCTGTGTGTGTGTGTGTGTGTGTGTGTGTGTGTGTGTGTGTGTGTGTGTGTGTGTGTGTGTGTGTGTGTGTGTGTGTGTGTGGCACAAGATTACGAGGACACACACAGCAAATTAATAAAATAATGTGGTTCAGAGTCTCCAAAAGCAACACGGCTCATGTCCGCCTTTTGTTTACCTTATGGAGCGGACTTTCCCGCGCGTATTACGCGCCGCCCACAGGCTCGAGGATTTCCGCATTCTTGAGAAGTCCCTCAGATTTATATGTGAACACTACACCGCCCTTACCAGCCCAAACTCACGCCATCCAGCCCGACCAAACCCCGACCGTGCCGACGCTCATGTGTAAGCGCCATAAGGCACAATGACGTTGTCCGGTTTCAGTTTACTGTAAAACATACAACAAATGACCCTAATGAGTTTTGGGGCAGCTGCGTTGTCCTTGTTCCTCAGAGTGATGGCTGACAGCAGTGCTTTGTCATCATGTAGTCCCAAGACACACTTGTCTCTTATAATTCCTCCGAGTTTCTCATTTAAATTGGCAGTCGATGTGATTATTGAGCTCATCAAGAAAATTATTATTGAGTGATTTTCTTGACTAATTCACATGATATGCTAGCGGTTGCCATCCACTTACAGCGTTTATGCTAGGCTAAAGCAAATGGAATATTACCCAGTTAGGAGAATGATTGGGCTGGTTACAAAACGCCTCTTTCCCATTTATCAAAATCTGGGGAATATACAGACTAAATTTCCCTTAGGGGTGAAAAATCCCTTTAACTTTTAATCTTGCTTAGGAAGTAAAATATTTCACCTGTCCAGTCGGATTTTTTTTCTGGCGACCGCTTCCTGAAACCTCCTCTCACCTTCCTATGAATAAAGAACACATGGAGGAGGACATCATATCACCACTGAATTACAGCTTAAGTGCTAAATGACACATGCACAGGTGCAGGAGTGGACTGGCCTATCTGTCATTCTGGCACTGTCCCGGTGGGCTGCTTGGGCCAACACAACCAACCCCCCACCCCACCCCCCAGGACAAATAGATTTAGGGATAGCTTCTTTCCCAGAGCCATCACTGTAATGAACAACCACAAAACCAGTTGAGGGGTGTGATTGGGAGGAATGGCCCGCCTGATCTGAACTCGAGTGGTGTTTCGTTATTGAACTTCTGTGCAAGCCGCAGTTTGGCCATAACGAACACCATGTTCGAACATAAGGATGCCCATCAGTACACTTGGTACCAGGGCAGCCTAGGTCGCAGGTCGACGATAGACGTTGTAGTCGTATCATCTGACCTGCGGCCGTACGTTTTGGACATCCAAGTGAAGAGAGGAGCCGAGCTGTCAACTGATCACCACCTGGTGGTGAGTTGGATCAGATGTCAGGGGAAGATGTTGTGTAGACCTGGCAGACCCAAACGC